AAAGTGAACCAGATATCATCTGGTAATCTGAGCTGATGGTTGAAAAGAGAAATAACCATGGTGATGGAGAGGGCTACATGCCAACGGGAACTCTGTTAATGTGATAAAACATGTTCTGAAGGTAAAAGGCTTTGCTTCATATGAATAGGGTTATTGATACTGAGGAAGCACATCTGCAGGTAACAGTAACAACTACTTTTCTACCATTGTTTCAGCTTTTGTCTAGTGATTTATTCCAGGCAAAGTATTCTAAGTGATTGCTATGATGATTAACACAGTATAATTTCTGGCATAAAATTAATATTTTGAAGAATGGCATTTTAGTTGCCCAGTTAGATTTGGCTTGTGTGCTAGAGGGAGCCTTTTTTGACAAGCATTTTTCAGGATAGTATCTGATGAATTTGGCTTCTAATGTCATGCCAGAACAACTAAAACACATTTCATTTGAGTCACAGTTTGGTGATAAGGGGATTTTGTTCTGATGTGCGAGCTTTAGTTAAAGGATGTTGTCCCTTTTCTAGCTGTTAATCAGAAGCTACTTTGAGGACTTCATTTTTAAAACTCATTAGATCTAACTCCGCTGGCATAAAAGTGGGAGGATACCTCCTTTCTGCAGGTGTTATCTCTCATTGAACACTTTGATTTAGGGGTCCCTGCACAATCTCCTTGTCTTGGGACCTTTTAGTTGCCCATTTCTGTACAGTGTCTACTTTTCCTTTTTGGAATGTATTTTAGTTGTGGGGGAAGGATCCTGTTTAGCAGCTCTTTTGGGAAATGGGCCTTTGCACTTAAGATTATTATAATTGCTTTCTAGTTTCAATGTTGCTATTTGTAGCAGTGAACATATGTCAGTTTATTTATATGGAGGTGGAAGTACATTTGTAGTAGTTAGTAACACTTTCCCTGAGATGGATGTTTTTAATCTTTTTTTGTGACACAGAATTATTTACTAGACTCTTTGCCTTGATCGTTCAGTGAGCTCAGATCAGATCACTGCTGCACTTGCACTGCTTCTTGTGAGGTTTGTCCTCTGTTAGTTCAGGTGGTTCCTGCCATAGTAATTCCTATAACATGCAAATCAAGTCCCAGGTTACAGTAGTTTAAAAGTATATTCATTTCAATCTCCACCTCTGGTTCCTTTGAGCTAGGCCATAGGATTTAACATTGCAATGAACTTTTCCCCTTGACCCTACTCTGGCTTGGCCTTATCCACAGACTGCAGTCCCTTAGGGGAGTACCCACTCCAAGTGGAGCCTTATCTATGAGCCACAGTCTCTTCAGGGGCACCTGCTCCAGTGTAACCAGAGCTACAGTCCCTTCAGGAGTGAACCTGCTCCATCATGGCCTTACCCGTGGCTGCTTTGCCCTTCCCCACGACCGCGTGCCCTTGGGGGGATTACCCACTCCAAGTGGAGCCTTATCTATGAGCCACAGTATCTCCAGGGGTATACCTGCTGCAGCATAGACTTAACTGCAGCTGCTTTGAGGTGCACCTGTTTCAGCATGGCCTTCTCTATGGGTCACAATGCCTTCAGAGATATACCTGCTCCAGCACAGCCTTACCCACAGCCACAGTTCCTTCAGGAGTGTACCTGCTGCATTGTGGACTTACCTACAGCCACTGATACTTTGAGGTGTACCTTCTCCAGTGTGGACTTATCCTTGGACCACAATCCCTTCAGAGGTGTACTTGCTGTGGCACAGACATATCCACAGCCGCAGATGCTTTAGGGTGTCCTGCTCTCATGTGAACTCATCCACAGGTCACAGTCCCTTTGACTTGACTTCACATGGAGTTCCAGCCTGTCCAGTACAGCAGCACAGAAACAGCAGTGATGGCACAGCCATTGCTGTTATCAAAATGTTCCCAGGCACAGTAGAGTAAGATAAGCAGTACAACAAGCAGGAAAAGCAGCCACTAATGAGCACTATAATATACAGTAAGGCAAGCAAGGCCCATGTGTTGTGGTTTAGGGCTGGGCTGGCCACTAAATCCTGGACAGATGCTCTCTATTAACCCCTCTCCCCTCCCCAGAAGGGAAGGGAAAAGAGAATAAGGGAGAGAGACTTTACAGGTTGGAAAATAAAACTAACAGGTTTAATGAAACACTAATAGTAATACTACAGGATAATAATGTAAATAGGAAAATAATGAAATATATACAGATATGTACAAATTATATATATAAAACCAATATAAAATCCTTCCCCCCCACACACACAATGACGATTATGTCACCAGAGGCTCTGCAGAGCCGGGCATTGGAAAAGTCCCAGACCAAACTCAGCAGCAGGTGGGAGCAGGATGCAGGACACACAAATCAGGATCAGCAGCAGATGAACGAGCAGGATTCTGCTCAGGCCTCGGCCTCTGCAGGATTGAGATGGATGGAAGGGTCTGAGATGGAAGGGCTCCAAGATGGAAGCAGGGTCGAGACCCTCATGATCCCTCGGCTTTATACTGAGCATGATGTACGTGGGATGGAATACCTAGTTGGTCCGTTTTGGGTCTGCTTCCCCATCTCCCCCCTTAGGCGCAGACACGGCACCCATGGTGATACAATTGGCCTTGAGATTATTAGTAGCAGCACATACTGGAATAATGTGCTGCTAGTTTCAGCACGTTCAGCCACTTAGAGACTGAGCTGAAAAGTAAAATCACTAAATAGAAAATTAGCTTTATTTAGCTCAAACCAGGACACCATGGTAAGCATAGAAGCCTGTCAATTAATAGCTAAAGAGCAATAACAGCTATAAACTTGTTCGAGCACATTCTAATAAAATCTATTGTTATCTCAAATCCTGTGAGCCCCATGTTGGTGCCAAAAAGACCTGTTATGGTTTAACCCTAGTAGGCAGCTAAGCAGCACGCAGCTGCTTGCTCATTCCCCCAGAGTGTGATGGGGAAGAGAATTGGAAGGTTCCCGTTTTCTGTCTGCCATGGCTTACAACTAGCATTTAATTTTAAACAGACTGGCAGTATAACAAATATAAAAGGAGCTTGCCCATGTTTCTTGGTTTGGGAGATGTTTAGTCAATTTCTTAATGACACAGCTAATGCCTGTCAGCTAAGGTGTATGGTATCCAACAGACTTATACTATGGTGTCAGTGTTCAACCTGATTTTTCTGGTCACAGGCTCTCAAGTAGATTATCTGATACTGAATGTTACATTCCTTAGGGTTTAAAGACAAGTTTAAAGGTTTATATATATTCATGTAGAAAATATTAATTGTCGAGACAAAGGAATTGTTTTATCTAATTAAAAAGCAGCTATGAAAACTACTCTGAAAAGTATTAATAGCAATAATGTTTTTTTATTGTACTGCTATTAGGCTTACAAAGAAAATTTTTACTTTTTACCAATAGCATGCTTAAGTATGGTAAAAGTATTATAGTATATATCCAAGGCTGGATGGTATTGTTATCCTCAGACTTGGCAAAATAGCGTTGATGCTGAACTCTTCACACTTTGTAGAAAAATCCATAGAATATGTAAAAAAAAATTAAGTTAGTAAAGAATTTGTGTCATTCCTTCGAACTGTTACTGTTATAATATTGTATAAGAAAATACTGTTTTCCTGCATAAAACTTTGGGTCCAAACACTGAAAATTCCTTGTTATCTCTGAACATTTGTCACTTCTGAATCTTGTTTACAATCTGGAATATGAACTGACTGGAGGTTCTCTTTGTTAACTTCTACAGTAAATTGTGAAATGGGGCTTGTATTTGTGAGGCTTTGGCTTATTAGTAATAGGCATATTAACATAATACAAATAATTCTAAGAGAACAGGTATTAATATTGAAGATAATTAAAAAATTAACTATAAAGGTGTTCATGATGACTGGAAAAAATCTACTTTTTAGAGAATGTGATACTTGCTGATCCAAAAAGTTCTGAACTAAGAAATCCTATTTATGTTTATAAAGTTGGTTAAAAATGAGTCCTTTAAGCTCATCTTCTCAACCATTAATTCTGGAGTGTATTTTATAGTTTGATCATTATCTTTTATGACGATAGATGTAAACACACAACTGAGTGTCCAGGAAAACTGAACAGGAACAGACTCCTTGGATTGTATGTGTTGAAATTTGTATACAGACATGCCTCCTTTGACTTTCCTCTGCATTGATTTGAGTATAAAATTATTTTAATAACTAATGAAATTTTTTTTCATGAAAAACTAACAGATCCACAGAAGGACCTATTTTTATCCTGCAGAGAACTTGAGTAAAATGTGACAAATTTGACCAAAAGTGCTTATGACAAAGGCAATTGAAAAATAAGTAATTTTTACTCTACCTGCTTGCTCATTATATCCTTGTACCATATTAAATCTTAGATATCCAGTGTAAATATGTACATTTTTCCTTTAAATTACTGAAAAAAGTATCTGAAACAAGGGCTCTTTTGAGCTGTTTAGTTTGTAGTAGTATTCTTGATGTATCACAGAGTCAGTAGCTTGAAGCTCAAGAATGTTAGCTGCTGTTCTGGTTGACTTTTTGAGGTTTTTAGATCATCTGACTTGGCAAGTATAATGACAGAGTAACTTGGTACTATAACAAAAAAGCATTACTGTAAATGTAATTTGTTTGGGTTTTTTTTAAATATGTTCCTATTGACTTTTTTCCCCAAGTATCCCCTTTGTTCAACATTAACTGTGTCAATATTGTTATTGTTTTGGATTAAACTAGATCATATGAATCTTTTAATGTTGTGTGTACATGGAACTTCTGGAGTGCTTTCCAAGCCTTTACACCTGTGTGGTGATATCGCCTGTATTTTTTTACATGATGGAACAGTGGGGGGGAATGATTGTTTTCTGTAGAGATAAAAGGAAAGTTAATAGACTAGTCTACTTAATACTTCAGACAATAAATGTCAGGATCTTACTAGAGGGGAATTAACTTTTAATAAATGCAAGCACGCTACTGAGTAAGCTAGTGAAGTCAAGAAAAGGAAAAACATAACCTTTTCTTCTTTTGCTTGTTTTAACAGTTGTTACTCAACCAAGCCCATCAGTTTCTCAACCTAGTACTTCACAGAGTGAAGAAAGAACTTCTGAACTGCTTAAACCAAAGAAGAACAGGTGTTTTATGTGCAGAAAGAAGGTTGGCCTTACGGGTATGAGAGGACTTTGTCAATATTGAACAGATCTATATAATTAGTTGCCTCTTACTGGATTAAATTTGTTGAAATATCTGTAGTCATTAAACTTGCTTTCTGTTTCAAAATCCACAATGTTACATCCCTTAATAGAGATGATATTTGGAAATACTAATTTCATTTATTCTGTCTGTTAAAGTAGATGCACAATACCTCCTTTATATACTGACTAAGCCTTTAATTTATAACTTGCTTAAGTCTGAAGCTTTCTAGTGATGTTGCTTTTCCTTTTCTTTGTACAGGATTTGATTGCCGATGTGGAAACCTATTTTGTGGACTTCACCGTTATTCTGACAAGCATAACTGCCCATATGATTACAAAGCAGAAGCTGCAGCAAAAATTAGGAAAGAGAATCCAGTTGTGGTGGCTGAAAAAATCCAGAGAATATAAACTAGCCTACTTGTGAAAAGACTGACTTTTGTGTTATTTTAATATACTCTAGGAAAGCATTAAAGAGCAGATGCATGGCCATTTTCCTTTGTTCTCCAAAGTTTTAATTTTAGCCGTGTCTGTCTTAGTGATATTTCAGAATGTTTGGGTGTTTGTTACAGGCAGAATTTGATAGATTGAAGATGTATAGGCTCTCCTTAGAATATGATTGGATGATAAGAACCTGCATGGGAATACACATTCACAGCAGACAAGGCTCTAGTTTACACGTGCCAAACAGATGTATACCATCTGCATATTTGCAGCAGATCTGCCTTTTGAGATGCTCAAGGTGTATAACACTAGCTAAAGGCTGTGTGCCTGTTTGGGAGAAGGATATCTCAGAAAGACTGGTGATTCCATTCAGAATGGAAGTCATGTAGAGGGCTTTACCTTCCAGTAAGATGAGTGTTGGTGCCATATTTAATAAAAAGTCATTTAACAATTGGAATGGGGGAAAAAAAATCAGATATGTATGAGAAGAAAAATATTTTAAAACAGATTACATTAACTTTAGAATCATGAAAATAGTTTTCCAAAGGAAGTGTCTCTATTAGAAACTTAAGAACTGCCCTGCAACAGTTGTCTGCTTTTCCTTGCGTAGCTAAAAATGTGTAGCACAATATTGTGCTAAGATTGGCTTACAAAACAAAAGCTATGTATGTGTGGGTTTTTTAGACATACTACAGCAGTTCTATCAAGTAACACATAAATCTGTAAATTGTAGAAGTATTTGAGCAGTTTTCTTATTCATTTACTTATTAAATTCAGTGTGTTCTAGGTTTAAAAGAATACTAGGAAGTTGGTTTTTTTTAAATAATAAAAAATTAAATCTAACAATTGCACATGCTACAATTTGTTGGATGTGGAAAACCATACCCAACATGACTCCTGTGGACTTCAATGGGAGCTGGAACCACACTTGGAGGGCTGCTTTATCATTTTTAATTGTACTTGGGTGTAGGACTGTAGTGTTCTTGGGTGTATTGCATGGGCTACATTACCTCCAGCTTTGTGTAATAACTAGAAAGAGCAGTATAGTTCACTAATCCTTGTCTGGTAATATCACTTCTGTGTTATATTCTTCTGTGTAAGGGAAGGGGTTTTTGTGGTGTATGAAACTTGTGGGGCTTTTATATAATCGAGTATAGTGTAGGCTAGTATTGTAGTAATGCCTCTTCGAATCTGTAAATAGTTGTGTATGTACACAAGATGCTACTTCTGACTTATTGCAGTGTTCAGTCTTAGTTTTGTTAGTTCACTATTAAAAGCATCAGGCTTTTGCTTTGACTTTGTTCTTCCAATTTACTTATCAGATATGCAAATATGTACAGATAGTTCATACTTGGGTATTGCACATAATCACACTATCCAGCATCTATGCTCTGTTGTATTATGTAAATAATAAAAATCATGTACAGAAGGAAATAATTTTTGTGGTAGCTCATCAGTTTTAGTTATTGCTGTAACTTGAAAGTGGCCCTGTGGAGGTCAAGGTGCAAAGCTAGTGCTGTGGTTTGTATGGTTGCTCTATCATTCAATGCCCCTTCCTCCCCACTCAAGGAGAGGGGTCAGGAAAGGGTAAGGAGACTTGTGGGATTAATAACAGTTATATTATAAAATACACAGAGTTGTACTCAGCTAATATTGTGGCGGAGTAGGCCTCAGGATTAGGATGGTAAACAAGTCCCTCTCGAGATGTCAGCCATGGCAGAGGGAAGAAGGAGCAGGAAGAGGGCTGTCCTCAGCAAACTCCCCAGTTTACAATGAATTATGTTTATAGTATGGGATAGTACTAATTAGTCAGCTTGGGGTCAACCCCTTTGGGTTTCTGCTCTCACCAGCCTCTTCACGTGTTTATCTCAAGACTGCTGAAGACCTTGAGCACTATGGCAACCTGCATACCAGGTTTAGCTGAAAAACTATAACAAAGTTTTATTGCTTTGTTCCCGTGAAGTAGAATGTTGTAGTCTGTACAAAATTGCAGTTTTCCTCAACAGAAAACTGACTCTCAAATTCTGTCCCACTAAACCAGGGCAGCTAGTACTAGGTTAGTATAGATGGTTTTTTGCTTAAACCTGTCTAACCTTATTTCTTGTTTTGACATACTGACTTGTTTAAGATGGCTTGTTGAGATCTGTCCTGGTTTAATCTGGGATAGAGTTAACTTTCTTCCTAGTAGCTGGTGTAATGCTGTGGTTTGGATTTAATACGAGAACAATGCTGATAACACATAGATGTTTTAGTTGTTGCTAAGTAGTGCTTATACTAACTCAAGGACTTTTCAGCTTCCCATTCTCTGACAGGGAGGAGGTGCACAAGAAGCTGTAAGGGAGCATAGCCAGGACAGCTGATCCATCTGAATATTCCATACCATATGCTCAGTATATAATCTGGGGGGGGGAATTGGCTGGGAGACTGTGATTGCTGCTTGGGACTGGCAGGGAGTTGGTGGGTGGGTGGTGAGCAATTATGCTATGCATCACTTTTTTTGTATGTTATTATTACTATTTTTTTCCTTTGCCTTACTATTTAAACTTTGTCTCAACCAATAAGCTTTCTCACTTTTGTTCTTCTGATTCTCTTCCTCATTCCACTGTGGATGGGGGAGTGAATGAGTAGCTTTGTGGTGCTTGGTTGCTGTGGCTGGGGTCAAACTGCAACAAGGTCAGAGAAACAAAACCGATAACTACTTGATGACCAAAGATGACTTGATGACTGCTGCTGCTGTAAATATTGCTTTTGATAAGGAAATGAGGGCATGTTCTGGGCCTTCGTGTGTCAGGATTATTTTTTTTTTTTATCGTAGAACTCTTTTAAAGCATCAAAATTATAATTTTTTTCACCTTTTTGTATTAAAGTAAAATCAACTCAACTGCATCATAAAAAGCTTGTTTGGTTACTTTTGGTTTTTGTTTTGTGAGTGTACCTTAGAACTAACATTTGAGGAGAATGTGTCCAGATTTGTGATACTGTCAGGGCAAAAGCATTTTAGGGAGGATAACTATGTTGATACCAGTACTTAGTGGTTCTGATGGTCTCTCTTGCATTCATTTGCTGCCTCTTTTTTTTTTTTTTTTTTTAAATTTGGACAAAGGTTTGTTTAAATTATTTATCTCAGTAGATCTGAGGAGGAAGGTAGGGATTTCTTATTCCATCATTGTTCTATATAATCATGAACTATATCATATGTGAATTGCCCACAGGTGGGATGAGAGCCTATATTGGAAACTAAGCTTTATTCTGTTAATAATCTACTAGGATCTACAGTAATTCAGGAGCACTAATTCTGTTGGGGCTCATGAAACTTTCGAAGAGGATGTTGTGGTTTAACTCCAGCCATCAACTAAGAACCACACAGCTGCTCACTTGTTCTCCCTCAGTGGGATGAGGGGAAGAGAATTGAAAGGGTAAAGGTGAGAAAACTTGTGGGTTGAGATAAGAACAGTTTAGTAGTTGAAATAAAATAATAATTACAATAGTAATAATAATAATAAAATTGTAATGAAAAGGAAAATAACAGAAATAAAACCCAAGAAAGACAAGTGATGCAACTGAAAATGGTTGCTCACCCCCAACAAAATCATAAAATGGTTTTGGTTGGAAGGGACCTTAAAGATCATCCAGTTCTAACCTTGTCATGGGCAGGGACATTTTCCCCTAGACCAAGTTGCTCAAGGCCTCATACAGCCTGGCTTTGAAGACTTCCAGGGAGGGGGCATCCACAGCTTCTCTGGGCAACCTGTGCCAGTGTCTCACTGCCCTCACAGTAAAGAATTTCTTTCTAATATCCAGTCTCTTCCATTGCCTCTTGCCCTATCACTACATACCCTTGAAACAGTTCCTCCCCAGATTTCCTTGGCAAAAGTGGCTAGGTGACTAAGAATTATTTACTCTTATCTTTTAAAATGTCTAGCTAATATTATGGCTGCACTATAGTGGGTTCTGTAGGATTCTGTGCAAACTTAATTAAACCTGAATTTTGGAGGAAGAACTTCCTGTGGTGATTTCAACCGGTTGTTCTAAGGTTGATGAATTGTCAGATGATTAGGTTGGCTGTGGTGCATAAAGATATAATGAAGTTAAGAAGCCAGATATGACTCTTCAAAAATACATTTTTGGTATATATATTCTAATCCTAAATATTACAGGTTCACAGGCTTTCTATTTCAGCTTTTTTTTCCCAAGTAATTCAGAAGCAGGTTTGACACTTCAGAGTGATACATGAAGCATATTTTAATATGTCTGTGTAAGCTTTCTTCCAGTATTTCAGGTATCTCCCACCAATTGAGAATGGAAGATGTAATGTTAAACTGTGTAACAGTTTTAAAACTTTACTTTTTGTTTATGCAACTGCATTATACATTTACAGAATAGCATGATAAAACATATATAAACTTTATGCTCTCTTATATGCATTTCATAACAAAAATCAAATTAAGATAGTAATTGTAGCTTCTAGTTGTTGCTATTGACTATGTGTGGTATACTTAATGTACTCTTCATAAATCAGGCAAAAGAGAATGAAGATAGAGTTTCAGTATAAAGATGGCAAATGTATGCTTGTAGAGTTTTCTTTTCAGTTGCATCATTTCCTTTTGCAATAAGATAATGTAACTTTTTTATGTATGCTTTACTGTACAGGAAACGCTAAGGAACAGATATAAACTTTGGGTATTATCTTTAGCTTTTCTTGTTTGAATTCAGACGTATAAGTTACATCTCCTTTTTGTTTTTCTTCTTTACATAATGGAAAAAAATCTCAATGAAGTAGATGGAAATTTTTCCATTGCATGCTGTTACTATATAAAGCCAGTGAAATGGCAGGTGTGGGATCTTTCATTGCTGAAGGCTCTGCAAAGATATTGGGAAGATGGAAGTCTGCTCCAGGAACTATTACTTAGGATAAATATTTCAGCAAGGTGTTTGTCTCTTCCTCCCCATAAATGTCTTAGTAAAAGGGTTACTTCTGATGTGGTTACAGATATGAAGTGCCTTTTTCCAATGAGTTTCACATATGGAACAGGATCTCCCCTAACAGCATAAATATCCTCAGAGAAGGTATGAATTTACAGTGCTACCCCTTGATGAAACAAACAGCAGAATGGTGTAGGATAGAGCTTTCTACATTAAAGCAC